GTTGTGTGTCTGTCTGTTTCACTGTCAGAGCAAAATTGTATGTCATTGTGATCTGGTTGTTTTAAACGTGGTTGTTTTGATCGTTTTTTCCTTCCTAAGGGTTACTGAACTGTATACACGTGGTATTCTCATGTTCTCACTACTTGTTCACTATCCCTGTGTTGAGTTGATGGTGACTGGGGCCTGTTGTGCTACAGTCGGTTAGGCTTCTTGCAAAATATGAAAGTTTGATTCCTGTGTGGGGAAGTTTCATTTTAAGTATATGTATATTTGATAATATACCCATCTTTCCGTTGAGATACTGTATCCTTCTTTACTCTCAGGCCTAACAGTTTAATTTTAATGTGAAGTATCCTTCCTCCTTGAAATGATCTGAATTGTGATGATGGAGACTTAAAACATCATATCATGTAGTATACAATTGATCAATCTTTATGACTATTTTCACATCACTCTGTGCTCTTACACTTGAACAAACTACAGATTGATGTCATCATTCAAGGACATAGGCTACTAGTAAGCCCTTATTGCTGTAAGCTGACGAAACGCCTTTAAAAAAATCAAAGCCGTTTTGAGATACAGAGGTTTTTTTGTCAGCGTAACCATTTTTTAAAAAGCATTATTCCGAAGTTTGGATTCTAATGTATTCAAACAAAAACTAGTTACAGTTTCACTTTGATTTTTTTTCACATAAGTAGGGCAACAATCAGGCTTTCGATTAAAACAAATTAAAAAATGGTGCCGAAAATGAAAAGAGGCATTTTGTCAGCTTATGGCAGCTTAGTAGTGTAGAATTTATTCAAACATGTGCTGTCTCAGGTGAAGTTGTCATTTAACATTCTTTTACAGCTGCTGTCGCAGAAGGTGCAATGATCTCCTTGGCCAGTTCTCATGATGGTTGCTGTTGACCTATTTTTATTTAGATTTTTGTTGTAATGTCATGTCTTGCATCATGTCAGGAGTGTGAATAGGTCTCAAAATATGAAAACTGATGGAATGAGGAGACAAAATTATAATTCAAATTACTGTTAAAAGATGTTTACTGTTGATGAGAAAATCTGCTGACAAATTTATAACTGGTGTCAGTATGCAGGGGTACCCATCCACAACTATATAATTTGTTTTAATAATCAGCCCCCCGAAAAAAGTTAATAATCTGGCTTAAAAATTCGTAATATGGCACTGGGTGGTCTTCTGCCCTGGCTTATGAAGGACAGGGGTTGTAGTCAAGCAAGTTCATTTATGAATTTTAAATGTAACATTAACGAGGGCGTGGTGAGAAAAAAGGTTCCTGCAGGCTCATCATTGTTGAGTAAAGAAAACTTTTGGACATGCAGAATTTCCAGGCTAACCTGTCTCTTGTCACTTTCACCCATGGCTAGTTTTTCTTTGCTCTGAAAATCAGGAAGGTTGAAAATGGTTTGTGGTAGGTGAAATTTTTGTAAAAATTGGAATCAGGGTATTATAATTTGTATTTTTGAAAAATGAATGAAAATCGTAACATATCCACCAAATTTGAATAGAATGATGGGCAGCCCTGAGTATGTGAGGCCTACCTGTGGTTGTTTTTTAAATTTTATTTACATAGGTTTGTAATGTACAATACAGTGGAGTTCACTTAAATCCAACAGTTAATCCGAAAACCGCAGTTAACCAAAACGAAAAATACCCCAATTTTTTTTATAGTACTCGAGCAACCTCTCAACAAAAAAAATCAGCTAAACCAAAGTAAATCCTGTGGTCCTGCAGATTTTGGTTAAAGTCTAAAGTGGACACCACAGTATTCTTTCATAAAGGAGTCCTGTTTGCAGAACAAATTCTTTGAATCTATGAAGAAAATCCCTTCGGAACTTGTGTTGAGAAAAGGTAAAGCCAGTTCTTCATTTTGTGAAATTTGTACCCCGAGTACCTTCTCGCATTATTAGTATTAGTAGTTTGTATTAATGTTAAACCTGCCGCTTGTAAAGGTCTTCCTTTATTTATTTATTTATATATGGAGGAAGTTGTTATGTTGATTTTGGTTTTATTTATGTTCTGTCATACAGTGGGTGTCCACTTCGCTACAAAGCTCAATGAATATCAAACGAATTTGAGTACTCAAACTCAAAAGAGTACTCAAAGGAAACAATGTGTGTGTGTACTTAATAGGAAACATTCCCTTTAAAATTTCCTAAAAATATACCATTGCGGGCAGTTGGTGGGTGCTCTGTGTTGTTTGCTCTTTCTTTCCTGTTAAACATCTATTGTGCTTATCTTCCTCCTTTTTTTTGTTTGTTACTCTCTTGTAACACCTCTAATCTTTTGCATTTGTAAATTGTGTGACCACATTGTGTTGTAAGTGCTGTAAAACTTTTACTACAACTAAAAGGTATCGTTTACCATTATTATTAAAGTCAAAAGGGTTGATTTGTGTCATCTACACCGGTAACCATGTAGACATGTATTTCGTTGTGCCCCTCTTTCTTGGTGGAGCTTTGACTTAAGAACCCAAAAATAAGTTTAGTGAACTGGAGATTCTGTCTACTGCCTATGATGTAATGGGGAGGCCATTCGAATTCAAAGTGCACTCCAAAGACACAAGTTTAATTCATACGACAATTGGAAGACATATGTTTCATCAAGTGACAGGATTTTGTCAAGAATGTTCAACACGTAGCCGTGGTTTCATTTTCCTGTAGGTCCTGACAAACAGGGTTGAAGAAGTGATTGATCTTCATATTTATAAGAATTTAATTTACGTGAATGAGGGAGTAAAAGTCCTTAGCCTCGATACACGTACATTTGTACAGACAGGCAAATGGAAACCCAACCTAGCACAGTTGCCCAACCAAAGGCATGGATTGCGCGTCCTTCCCCCTATTCACCACAGTTAAATTGGACAATGTTTGATGCACACTAATTCATGTTGGAAATTTCGAAAGAGTTATTACCTCAGCACTGGTTTGATGTTTGTTATCCGATCTATTTTAAATTTGGTGCTCATTATGAATCTGATGTCAAAGTAGCTATCTTTTGTTCATAACATTAACATATGACCTGCACATACTGACCGTAATGACTTGAAAAATAGCTAAATCTAGAATTGTTATTCTTCTGACATTCTTTCCACAGGCCTAACCAAGAGTATCTGCCCTCTAATTTTTTAATATTTTTTTAAGTTTTGCAAGTCGTAAGTCAAGTCTTACATCCACACTGCTCCAACCAACCCTGCCTGTCAGTGTCAGGACCAGCCTTGGGAGGGTACAAAGTGGTTTGACTACATACTCTACATAGCCCAGCAGACAGACAGATGACATACTAGATGAAATACCTTAACAGTGTGGGAATCAAATTCACACGTCTCCAATGTGCAATGATGAAGACCCTAACCATGTTACAAACAGTAACAGCAGTCTCAATATTCGAGTTTTTTTTGGTCAATTTGTTGTTGCAGTTGACATAGATTCATACCGGTGTGTATAAAAAAGTTAAAACATGTGTTATTTCATGAATTATATGGATCTAAAATCTTGTCAGTATTCCAGGTTTTTCACGATTTTTGTCATAGATATCTCTAAACATGAAATAAAGTTTCAACGTCTATTCATGTCAGTAAGGACGATAAGCTTCCTTATCCAGGCCAATGTTCACCTGTGGTCATTCAATGGGTTTTATTTGTATTGAGCATTTGATGTTCTGTAAAAAAAAAAAGAAAAAGCAAAAAAAAAAAGCATGGTTTTCAGAAAGAAATACAGTTGAATTCTGTTACCTTCATTTCTCTTCCCTCTACTCTATGATGTCTGTCTTTCTTGCTTTTCTCCTTCATTAAATGGCCCATATTGTGATGATTTGTCTCTTTTTTTCCTCAAAGATGCTTTCACGTTATTTTCTACTTTTTTGGAACCTTTGACGGTGCCATTTCTATGGTCTATTACCCGGTACCAGCTCTTATGAGTAGATTGTTATCCCCAGGGGGAAGAATACTTTGGTCCCATTTGTCACTCCACCTCGCCGACTGTTGAAATAGGTATGATGTAGTAGGAGTTAACGCCTGAATTACAAGTAGTGGAATTAGACAAAAGAAGGCTTGGAATGGAGTAAAAATAAAAATAAATCAGCAAGTGTAGACAAAATAATTTATTGTTGGACCAAGGTGTTAGTTGAACAGAGCATCAAACAGAAGATCTCTACAGAGTGCTTACAAAACAAAAACGCATTTTTAAAAAATATAGATTAAAATAAAAATGCATATATATATAAAAATGCTGGAGTGCATTGTCTCGTTATAGGAAATAACAAAATCCTTCCATAAAAAAAACTTGAGCAGTGCTTTACATTTGCAAGCAGGCAACATTTTAGAAGATGTGGAAAATTGAACTTCTTTACAAGTTGTTCACATATTTGAAAATATTTGGCAGCCAAGAGTATTCTGCAGCAGGCCTACGTCAATTAAATATAATATATATCTCATCAAGTCTTTGATATTTTCAACATGTTCCAGAAAAAAACCCAGGAAGCAGGGAAGTAAAAAGGAATGTATAAACCACTCTGTGGGGGAGAAAACACATCGATGGTGTCACAGTGGGCTGTATCACTCTCGGTAATAACAGGATTTCTGCTGTAGCAGGCTTATATGTCTATCCCAGGTCTGATTTTTTTATGATGTAATGCATTGTAAAAAAATATTTGTATTAACACAGGCATTCAGATAGGCATGTAGTAGTCCAACTATTGACAACATTCTGTAACGAATTGACAAAGCAGAAGAAAAAAAATCAAATGAAGCAAAACATCCAACTCGGCGAATTGTTCCTACATGACCCACAGGAGGCCTAAGTTGATTGCGTAGATAATTACACTATTAAATATATATTATTCTGGTGATGTATCATACTTATGTGTGTACAGGAGGGAGGGGAAAAGCTGGGTGCATCTTGATGTTGATTCAAACTTTTCCAATCAGTGACCTGGCCTGATCCTGGTCTGGCACCACATCGTCACGTTATCTTTCCATGGAGTGGCCAGACTTATAAATTTAGGGGAAAAAAATTACTCAGATCCTTTTCCCTGCAGTAGAAACTATTTGGACATGGATTAGTTATAAAGGACACAGAGCCTGAGGTAGAACATAGTTTGTGCTAAATAAATGTAATTATTGTTTTTACTAGACTATAGAAAATATTATGTATCTCAAATGATGTGTAGTCAACCTCTTTGGGAATCCAAAGAAATATCCCTGGAAAAGAAAGAAGAAATAACTGATAAACTGGAAGTGGAATGTCTATGATGTAATAAAAACAATTGCATTCTTTAATCATTATTGTATGATCATGATGTAAACATTTATTGCAATCTATGACAGGATTTGTCTGTTACATGGATGTCTCTGTCATTCCACTGCATACTCCTGCTGTGTCACTCATATCTTGAAAATTTTTGAACACCGACACATATATAGGCCTACCTTTCTGTTTAAATGATGAGAGAAGAAACAAAAATTATTCCACGGTTGTTTTTGTTTTTTTTACCATTTAGAGAGCAAGCTGACTCCTGATTTCTGAGGATTTATCTCAGAAAAGGTTACAGAAGAAAAAAAATTACTTATAAAATTCCTTCCAATTATGCGGGTCAAGCATGACACCATCGATGTGACTTGCAAAAACCACAGTCAAACATTCCAATCAATTCCAGTAGGCCCCTACATCTGATGGAGAGCCCCATAGACCAGGGTTAACTTTTGTTTCCGTATCATTGTGGCACCTCGCCCACGACATCCGTCTTTCTACGCAGCATCAACACACCGTCTCGGAGAGGCACCACAACCTGCAAATGACAAGAGTAAAAGTGAAAAAGAGGCTGAGAGTGATCTGATGATGTAAAACTCCGTCAGAATAATGAGGAGGTTTTGTAGTCTGGTGTACCCATCCCTATTATTTTAACTCATTTGAGCCTATTCTCGTGTATTTATGGGACAATGTCTCCTGTGTTTTTTCGGTTACAAGCTACAGAAAGCGGCAAGCCAACAGTTGAACCACCTGTTTAGTTTCGTTAAAAATAATTTTCGGAATTTATTTTGAGCTGAAACAGACAACACTAAGTCAGTCACCCCCGCATTGCGACAGATGATTTTATTATAAATGGGGCGCAAAAAATTGCGTAAACCCCAGTCACTGCCATTTTCAAAATATTAAAAAAATTAAAACTATTCGACACATGCAGTTTTATTTTTCTGTGAGAGCGTTTCTTTTTTTTGTTGTATTTCGTAAATTATGATTATGACAGCTCTCAGTCTTTTTGTGGTTAACAATTCAATATACCCCAAAACTGTCAGGCTGCAATGGTTGTTGGGGGAAAAATAGCTGAGGCTCAGGTGAGTTAAGACACTTAAATGCTCTTCCAAAAACAGTGTAAAAATTTGAATTAAGAGCTATCTATCTGTGTATATTTTTTTTCAGTCGCCTGCAACACCTTACTAGACACAAAAAAATGGGCATCAGTGGTAAAAAGGCTCTTTACTTTTACCATTGTATGCTGAAAAACACTTGTACAAAGTTCAATACACTAATACATGACATGAGTATGCATGTGATTCCTGGGCAGAGCAATTTTATCAAGCATCTCTATCTGGGCTGCTGTTTCTCCCTCAGCCTAGGTGGGTTCTGACAGGCAGGGCCCAAGCAGCCCATCCCCCAAACGGTCTACATTATATATTGATTGATGGCAGTGTAAAACATGATAACGATTAATACTTTTTAACCCTATCCGTACGTCTGGGGGTCATTTTGTACTCTTCAAATTTTAAAATACTTCTAGTACGAAGATCTCTTTGAAACTTTCAGTATTCTGTCCCCATGGTTTTATGCACCCTGCAAAATGTAGCAAAATTTGATCATTTTTGGCATAATTTCTGATTATTTCCCTTTATCATTCTTTGTTAAAATTAGATCTAAATCTAACAGAATCGCATAATTTCACATTTTTGGCCTCAGTTTGCATAATTTCAAAATTTTTCTTGCCTAAAACGACGGGGACAGTCTGTGGCCCACGCCTCAGCCTGCCGTTATTCTCTTCTTCAATGTCAAATAGGTACTCGATTACCTCTCCCGAAATAAACCAACTAACCACACATACTGAAACTGAAACGGCATAGACCTATACTATGCACTCCAAATTTAAAGTTTGTGAAACATCCTTCTGTCAATGTGGCCAGTCAGCCAGGGATCAGAGAACAACCCCTATATCCCACAGCACACAGAGCACAAATGACATCAGAGCGACACCAGTGGAGAGAAAACTTTCTGGCAGCCTAAAGGATCAGTTTGATGAGTTTGTGCACACCATGGACTGACTGACTAATAAATGTCATCAAGAACTTGGAAGAAGAAGTAGCAAATACAATTACAATGAAATGGAACCTTACCTAAGGGCAAATCGATACTATGAATATGATACCCAATAGCAATAAACCATAAAATGAAGCAACTAAATAACCACCCACCTTCTACCCCCCATAAAAAAATATATAATATTAATACAATAAATAATCTATGTAAAAAATACTATCTAACAAAAATAAAATAAAAAGAATTTTAAAAAATAAAAATAATGTTACACACATAATAATTATAACAGTTCACCCATCAATGTTTGATGATGACCAATTCATTCGCAGGGGAGAATATTTTTAAAGTGTAATGGAAGAATTAAAGGTTACGATGACCTGTGGCTTCTGCTACCGATATGGCCAATGAGACCAAAGCAATCATTTATAGTGGTCTCCATCTAAATGCACATTATACCAAGGCACGCTCCGCTCCGCTCAAATGCATGTTTTTGTCATATGACAGGTTTTTAACTATATATATAATTTAGATGTTCAAATGCAGTCACTCCTTAACGTACACTTTGATCCTCAAAAAACACCAACAAGTAAAGCCTGACAAAAACAAATTTTCGCTACAACCGGCACAGCTTGGATTAGACAACAAGCCCACACAATCAGATATTTGGTGAAACTGATCCTCACGCAGAACAAAGAGAGCGATGGACAGCATTTTCACACCCAACTTTCCACAGACATATAAAATCAAGGACTGATCTGGTGATGGAAAAGATATGTTGGAGTGCGGGGGGGGGGAGACTAAAACTGAAATGTTTTTTGATTGGTCACTCGAAACACATCTTTGAGAGAAGTTTTCTGACCTTTGGTTTGGTGACTGTTCGTAATGTTTAGTTAGGCATGAAGAACACTAAATAGGCCTCTATAGGATTAAAGATTAGTCAAGTAATCAGCTGCACTTGAAGAACTTTTAGCTTATTGGCTCAACGAATCACAAGAGAAAAGTGTATTTTTTACTGTTTTTGTAAGTGTTTTACGGCGCTCGCAACTGCATAAGGTCATATGAGCGCGCAGGACACATTAAACCTTTTCAGTTGGTAGGAAATTTTGAAATTTGCCCGGGTGGCGGCTGAAGCTTACTTTTATAAATTTTAGACCACCAAGGGATCTCTAACATGCGCAACTTGCACACGGGCCCTCCGAGATTTTTCGCACTTGTCCGAGAAGGCTAGGTGTAGATATCTTTCCTACCAGAAGATCAGGGGTGTGGCTGAAAGACAGCAGTAAAAAGGAGTCAAGGAGAGCAGTAGAAAGGCGGCAGAAAGAAGAAGCGAAGGAGTAGCAGTAGAAAGGCGGCAGAAAGAGTCAGGAGCCCAGAGGAGGGGGCGAAGGAGGCGAGGGGGTGGGAGCAGAAAGAGGAGGCGAAAGCAGACGACAGAACATTATGAGAGAGCAGAAAAGAAGGAGAAAGGAGACAATTTTAGAGTAGAAAATTCTTCGGTCGCTACCCCGGTTCGAACCCAGGACCTTTGAATGAGAGGCCAACACATGAAATTCTAGGCCCCAGGATCCCCAGAAAAAACTCTCAGAATGTTCAATTCAGATCTCACCCATGCATTTACCGAGTTGCAATAGATGTCAGGTAGTCGCGAGTAATCGCTTGGAATGCCACGTGGCTGAGCGCTTTTCCCTACATGACTATCACCAACAACTGTTCACAATATTTTATAGTGCATATTCAGTAGAGTGAGTCTGTCTTTCTGCTTCCCCCCCCACCCCCCCCA